AAAAAAAAAAAAAAAAAAGTGTACAATTTATTGGTTTTGGTATACTGCATTTCTTAAATTGTAGTGAAATGTATATAACAAAACTTACTTTTTAAACAATTTTTAAGTGCAATTCAACAACATTAATTGCATTCACGATGTAACCATGGATACTGTTTCCAAAACTTTTTTATTATCCCCAGATAAACTCTAACCATTTTTTCCCTTTTTTTGTACCTACAGAATATGCTGAGTAATCATTAAGCAGTGACTCTCCATTTTGCCTTTCCCCCCAGCTCTACTTTCTGTCTCTATGAATTTGATTATTCTAGATATTTTACAGAATTGGAATCATACAATATGTGATCTTTTTGCGACTGGTTTATTCCATTTAGCATTAGGTTTCCAAGGTGGCAATATCAGTACTTTATTTTTAGGGCTGAATAATTCTGTTTATGAATGTACATATATGTTTGTTTATCCATTGTGGATATTTGGATTTTTTCATCATTTGATTGTTTTAATGCTGCTGATAAAAATGTTAATGTAGCCTGGGCGTGGTGCCTCAAGCCTATAATCCCAGCACTTTGGGAGGCTGAGGTGAGCGAATTGCCTGAGCCCACGGGTTCTGGAATAGCCTGGGCAATTTGGTGAGACCTTGTCTCTACAATAAATTTTTTTAAAAAGTTAATGTAAATATTTGTTTGAATGCCTGTTTTCCGTTCTTTTATGTGTATATCTAGGAGTGGAATTGCTGGATCCTGTAATTCTATGTTTAGCTTTTTGAGGAACTGCCAAACTTGTTTTCTTCTTTTTTTGTTTTCTGAGTTGTAGTCTCACTCTGTTGCCCAGGGTGGAGTGCAGTGGCACACTCATGGCCACCCCAGCGCCGACCTGCTGGGTTCAGGCCATCCTTCCACTTCAGCCTTCCAAGTAACCTGAACTGCAGGCACGCATTGCCACACCTGGCTAATTTTTCGATTAGGGTTGAGGTCTTACTTAGTAGTCCACTTGCCTAGGCCTCCCAAAGTGTTGGGATTACAGGCTGAGCCACTGAGCCTGGCCCAAACCTGTTTTCTACAGCGGCTTTACCAGTTTATGTACGAGGGTTCCAGTTTCTTCACATCCTGACCAACACTTGTCATTTTCTGTGTTGTTGGTTTTTAATAGTTATCCTAGTACATGTGAACTGGTTGGTGTTGTGCTATGTCTTTTTAAATTGTAGTAAACTACACCACACAGATACCATTTTATTCATTTTTAATTGTATGGCTCAGTGGCATTACTTTCACATTGTTGTGCATTATCTCAAGAACTTATTGATCTTCCTGAACTGAATTTCCATATCTGTTAGACACTAACGCCCCATTTCCCCTCCCCCTAACCCCTGGCAGCCACCTAAGAGTAGAATTTTGGAGTATTAGGGTATGGATAAAAAATTAAAATCTTTTCCTGTGCTACCTGAGGACTTAACCTTTGATTAAATCTCTAGCTAAATGAGAAAACGTCAACACTATTACTGTGCAACATTGCTTATGGTAAAAATTATCCCTGATTGACAAATTGCCTCTCTGCTATAAGGAATTATAAGTACTTACTGGTATAAAGCTTTGTGCTTCTTTGAGTGTAGTGACTGTGGTAACTGGGCATGTTCCTTGTGGGGAATTTGTGTCTGTACAGTTGTGTGTTGCAAGAGATGTTGGCTTCTGTTCTGGTTGCCTTCCCGTCATGCTCTTACACTGATGCCAACTGTGGTTCATGGTTGTTTTCTGAGTTGGCTTTTTAGTAGAGCCTGAGGTGTCACACCTTGGTAGGTATTGTAGTTTTTCACCAAAAACAAGTAGTGTAGGAGAGTTGTGGTTGCACCACATCCTTGCCAATGCTTGTTTTTTGTTGTTGTTTTTAACAGTTTTGATAGTAGACTCAATTTTTTTCCCCATCTTTTGTTATGAGAAAAATTTTAAACATCTCTTTTCATCTATAACAGTTTGTTGTTTTCTCCCTTCCCTCTCTGCCCTCTACCCATGGCACTGACTTTTTGAAAAGACTGGGACGGTTGTCTTGTGAGTGCTCATATTCTGGGTTTGCCTGAGTGCTTCCTCATGCACACATTTTGCAGTAAACATTCGTACCCATAACATACATAACAACATTTTGCTGTGCATAGCATTCCACCTATCCACCCATACATCTAGTTAGTTTATTTAATTCCCCTCAAATATGTAAGTATACATATTCTTAAATAGAGATCAATATTTGCTTACGACTTTTTCTTTCTTTCTTTCTTTGTTTTTTTTGAGTCGAAGTCTCACTGTCTGGAGGGAAATGGCATGCTCCCGGCCACCGCAGCCTTGACCTGCTGGGCTCAGGCAGCCCTTCAGCCTCAGCCTTCCAAGTAGCTGGAACTACAGGCATGTACCATCATGCCCAGCTGTTTTTTTATTTTTTTGCAGAGACAATACTCTTACCTCCGCCTTCCAAAGTGCTGGGATTGCAGGCACGGGCTCCCATGCCCTGCTAACTTTTTCTTTTAATGTAAAAGTTACATGTAATGAAATTCACAAATCTTAATTGTCCCTTCATCAAGTGTTCACTTATGTATAACCTTTGTAACACAAAGTCTTGTCAGAGCACAGAACATTACCAGCACCCTGAAAGTTTTTCATGTTCCTTTCAGTTAATCCCTACCCTACCCTCAAAACATCAGCCACCGTTTTTATTTTTTTCTACCACAGATGAGTTTGTTCTGTTTTAGAACTTAATGTAAATTGAATTTTATTCATTTTCTAGGGCTATCACAAAGCTAAAATAACAGACATTTGTTCTCTCTAAATTCTGGAGACTAGAAGTCCAAAATCAAGGTGTCAATAGGGACATGTATTATTGGAGGTTCTAGGAGACAATCTGTTCCACACCTTTCTCCATAGCTTCTGGTTTTGCTGGCAATCTGTGGTATTCTTGGCTTGCAGTTGCATAACTCCAGTCTCCATCAGCACATGGAGTTCTTCTCTGTGTCTCTATCCTTTCTTTTTTTTTTCTGAGTTGGAGTCTCACTCGGCTGCCCAGACTGGAGTGCAGTGGCCGCTCCCGGCCACCGCAGCCTCGACCTGCTGGGCTCCGGCGATCCTTCCGCCTCAGCCTTCCAAGTAACCGGAATTACAGGCACGCGCTACCCAGCTCGGCTGATTTTTTGATTTATTGTAGAGATGAGGTCTCGTTGCCCAGGCGGGTCTCGAACCCACGGGCTCAGGCAATCCACTCACTTCAGCCTCCCAAAGGCGCGGGGTTACAGGCAGAGCCACCGAGCCCAGCTTCTATCCTTTCTTATGTGGATAGCAGATATATTGGACTAAGAACCTACCCTATTTCAATATGAACTCAATTTTATCTGTAATAACCCTGTCTGCAAATAAGATTACATTCTTAGTTATTGGGGTTAGGACTTCAGTATATCTTTTGGGGGGATACATATCAACCCACAACAATAATCATGCAGTATGTATTCTTTTAACCTTGTGTACTTAGTTTTTTGTTTTTTTGGAAACTGTGTCTCGCTGTCACCCAGGCTGGAATGTAATGGTGTGATAATCACTGCTCACTGCAGTCTCAACCTTCCGGGCTTAAGTGATCCTCTTGTGCATCCTGAGTAACTAGGACTGCCACATCCACCTTTTTTTTGTTTTGTTTTTGTTTTTTTGTAGTGGTAAGACCTTGCTATGGATCAAACTCCAGGCTTCTGAAACTGCCTATAACCAGGCTCAGTGGTTTACACCTATGAATCTCAGTGCTTTGGAAGGCTGTGGTGAGAGGATTACTTGAGCCCAGGAGTTCGAGACCAGCCTAGGCAACATAGCGAGACCTCATCTCTACAAAAAAAATAAAAAAATAAAAAAATTAACT